ACCGCTAGTGCTAGTAATATAAAAGCTATAGAAGAATATATAGTAATAAAAGTATATAATACTCTATATAAAGTTCTATTACCTTTTATATAGAGGAAGCCTATATATAAAAATATATATATATATTAATAAAAACCTTAATATTAACTAGTAGTTAGTAGAGCACTACTTACTAGACCTTATTACCCTTTCTTTCTATACTAGTAAAAAGGATATCTAAATTTATAATATCTATAACCCGAAACTAAATAGAATTATAGCCGCACTACTTCTACTGCTAAATAATAATAACGCAGAGCACGTTTTTATAGGTAATATAAACCTATATTACCTATTATAGAAAGGAATATAAGTAATAAATATAGAGGAGTAAGCGGAGGAGCTTATCCGTATTATAATAAAAGCAGGAATAAACTTAGCTATAGAAAAAGGTATAGAAATATAGGCGAGAGGAATATTATAGTCTATAATTAACCTTATATTTATAATAGAATAGCTAATAAAATAAACTACTTCCTATATAACGTATTCCACCACTAAGCCGGCCAAACCACCGAGCCGGCCACTTTTCCTTGGCACAACCAACACTATGTGCGCGCAGTTAATTTATTCGCAACTAGCTATAGAACTTGTATACGACACACTTAGATTAGATTTAGAAGAAGCTTCTTAATCCTTTTTACACGTACACGTATTGTGCCCAGCCTCTCTATAGTTTCCACAGCGCCGTTAAGCTGGTAGAGCCCTATTTACACTATCTCTACTACCTACCTTTTTCCGTGGATTAGATGCTCTAGACACTTCAGCAGCTACGTACAACGCTGCTGTACTATACTCTATTATACCGCCAGTCTGGATTCGCTTTCTTTTACGACCTTTACGCTTAGTTATCTCTACTAGTTGCTCTTTAAGCTCTTTAACCCGGGCTTTAATAAGTATATTTTTATATAGCATCTCTTTAGCTCCTTTAATAAGCTTTAAGAAGCCTTTTTAGGCGGTTATTAGTAACTATATAAAGGAATTGCTTACTAGCCTTAACTGTAATCTAAATTTATATATATTGCTTAGGGTTTTTAATTACTATAGTATTTCTAGTAGGGGTGCTAGTAGTAGGGTCTATAACTATATATTAAGGCGATTAAGAACTACCTGCGCGTTAATAGGAACTAATCCAGAGGCCTTAAAGGCCTTCTTGCAGTTCTTATATATAAATATATTAAAAAACGCATTTTTAAAGGCTGGTAGGAAGCCTTCTTTATTAATATAGTAGACGTGTTAGCGTGCTAAGTTTTATATATATTAAAAGTACTTTAGCTTTAATAGCAAGAAGCACACTATATTAAGTAGCTAAAGTATATACAATAAATGCGCAGGCATATAGAGGGTAAGGATTTATTGTTTAATATAATAATTCTTAAAATCTTAGTTAAGGTGGCTCTTATAGCCGTCTAAAATTAGCAACCTATATAACCCTACCTAACGCGCCTTTATATATATATTAAAGTGCTTTAACTACTTAAAACTAAGCTTATTATTAGTCTAGCCGTTTTTAGAAACAGAGAGCTTCTAATTATATAGTATCTCTGCTTTCTTATACTATATAGAGATATAAACGCGTCCTTTATAGATAATAAATAGTAGGGTTATATATCTAGCAGCGCAGATGCTCTAGATAACTATAACCTACTCTCAGTTGCCTAGTTAAATAAAATTAGGCCTTATATATTTCTCTAAACCTGTAACAACCTTTATTATGCTAATTATACCTATTTAAAAGCCAGTCTTATTAAAGTTGTAGATATTATCTAGGTGGACGCTATACTTAGCTATAGTCTCTTGCATAAAAGTAAACTATATATTAATAACCTCTAGGTTTTCCTAGAGTATTCTCTGGCAGTTCTTTGCCCGATTAAAAGCTATTTTAAGCTCCTTTATATAAGATATAAACTGTTAAGTCTAGTTCTTGCCTACTAGTGTCCTACTACGCGCAGCCAGTACTTTATCTGCTATATCTGCCACTTTACACAACCGGGGCGCAAATCCTCGCAAGTCTAGGTTAAGGATATATTATATAATTATATGCTTTTCGGTCGCAGTAAGCTTTAGGCAGTTTGGTTGTAATTAAGGTTAAAACGTAATTCCGTAGAGCTAATTAGAGAGCTGCTGATATTGTATATTAAAGGCTGCTGCAGCGCGTTATATAGTCCTAAATTAACTAGAGGTAAAGGCTTAAAGCGCAAGATTAATACTGCCTTTTTACTAAGATAGATAATCGCTACGTTGTTAATATATTGCTGTGTAAATATAGTGTTGGTTGTGCCAAGGAAAAGTAGCCGGCTCGGTGGTTTAGCCGGCTTAGTAGTGGAATACGTTAGTATAAAAGAAATAGAACTATAATTTAGATTACCGCCCTATATATATAAAGTTTAATATTACCCTACTAAGCGTAGTAAAACAGCTATAATATCGGCTATAGAAAAATACTAACTAAAAAAAGGTACAGAAGCACCTTTAAACCTAGCTAGACGAGCTAAATAACTAGAATAACTTTTAAAACACGGAGGAGGACTTTAATAAATTTACACGCCTTTTTTATAAATATATATAGGCTATAATTACTACTATAGTACCTATTATAAGGCTATTAAAATAGGTATCGCCGGTATAGTTAGAAAAATACTTAGAGGAAGTATATAAAACTAGAAGGGCGTATAGAATATAGCGCTTATTATAATCTATAAAAAACTAGATATTATACTATATCTAGTATAACTATAAAAAAAAAACTATATAAAGAAAAAGTACTAAAGCGTAGCGCCGTATAGTAAAGAAAGTAATAAAAAACCTAAAAGGTATATAGAAGCTAGCTAATTAGGGCTATATAGCTAGTAAGGAATTAAAACCTCCGCCTTAATTTCCCCTTTTTTTAAAACCTAAGAACCCTACTCTATATATAGATAATAAAATAAAAGCACGTATACTAGTAGAGTAGTTTTTTCCGCCTCCGGCTAATATAGACTTATCTAACCTAAAAAGGTTCTAATACCTAGAACTATATAATACTACGCTAAATATTATAATTAAGAATATCCTTTTAGCGCTAATAGAAACTGCCCTAGATAAAGCCCCGGGTATTATAGGGATTACTAATAGGTTTTTTAAAAAGTGCAAAATATAGCTAGCGCTTATACTAGCTTAGTTTTTTATAAAGTACCTATATAAAGAATACTATTTTCGGCCGTTTAAAAATTCTATTATAGTAGTGCTATATAAGCCCTAGAAAGCATTTTATATAACGGTAAAGGCCTATAGGCTAATCGCCTTACTAGAAATAATAGGTAAGCTATTCGAATAAATTATAGCTATATAGCTATCGAAAATTGCGGAAGAAAAGGATATACTTCTACTTAGTTAAATAGGGGTATAACTAGGATATTTAATATAGATAGTACTTAAGCTTCTTACTAAATAAATCCACGCTATATAGAAAGGAAATCTATAGCTTATAGTATTATTTTTAGCCTAGATATATTAGAGGCGTTTAACTATATATTATATAAATATATAATATATAACCTATAGATTTAATAAGTACTAAAGTAAATAGTTAGGTTTATAAGGTTTTTTCTATAAAACCGCACTATAAGGCTTACTATTAGAAACTTTATAGTAGAACCTATTATAGTTACTATAGGAATACTGCAGGGCTTCTCCCTATTACTAATACTTTTCCTTTTCTTTACTAGTATACTTCTACTAATACTATAGTGCGGTAATATAACAGCCTATAGATTTATTAATAATATAAATATTTTTATATATAGTAAAAGTATAGAAAAGAACTGCAGGGCTATTAAATAGGTGTATAACCGGTGTATAAAGTAGGTAAGAAAGTATAGAGTAGTTTTTACGCTAGATAAATACTACCTAATATACTTTATAAAAGCCTGTAAGTCTATTAATATAAAAGCTATAGTTAATATATAGGGCTTTACTAAAGGCCCTATAATAGATCTAAGAATACTAGGGGTTTAGGTGGATTCTAAACTTAAATAGGGCCCGCATATTAATACTATAAAAAATAAAGCTACGGCCTAGATAGGGGCCCTTATAAGGCTTACGGCGTTAACCTAGGGCGCAAGCTTCCGGAAGGCATGTATAATATACTCGGCGGTTATTAGGCCTGCTATTATATACGGATGCACCTCCTAGTATACTACACCGGGTATAAAAAAGCAGATTAGCAAGACAAAGATTAAGCAGCTCGAAACAGCACAGAACTAGTGCCTTTGCGCTATTTTAGGGGTATATAAGACAACAAATATTAGGGTGATAGAGCATAAGATATTATGCCCTCCACTCCGGCTAAAGCTGGAGGAACTTACGGTGGCCTACGCGGACCGCATACGCAAGGGGCCAGCCCGCGAGCATATCGAAACCTAATGCAGCCGCATAAGAGAAACGGTCCGTGCTAAATACAGGCCGAAAGGAACACCACAGTACGGCCCAAGCAGGCGCGACGAACTCCGCAAGCTCGCGGCGAAGGCATCACGGCTAGCCGCACGATACAAAGGCGAATCGGAAGAATCCTATAGGCGCACGAGGCGTGGCATGATCTAGGATGAATACGAAGAGAAGTGGAAGAAGGAATAGGAAGCCTACTATAAAGAACTACGCCAAGGACCCCTAACACCAGCACTCGACACTAAATAGAGCAAACGACAAGAGGCACTACACAAAGGACTCACGAAGGTAGAGAGCACAATTATCACGAACCTACGGACGGAGCATATAGGGCTCAACGGTTACCTCCACCGTATAAGAGTGCCCGGCCACCCGACGCCGGCATGCCCTTGCGGGCATAGCCTCCAATCCCCAAGACACATTGTGATGAGTTGCGGAAGACACATTAAGGGCAGGGGCGAGCTGTTCCAGAAGGCCAAGACGAGGACGTATGAACAGCTCTACAGAAGCCAGAAAGGAAGAAAGGCCGTGGCCCAATGGCTCCTCCAAAGGACGGACCTCCTGCCATACCTCTCGGTGGCCAGAGAGATGGCAGAGGCGGAGACGTAGGCATTCCACCTCCTACAACTTTACATAACTATGCATACTACGCATACCATGCATACCACGCATACTGCGCATACTACACACACTACGCATACTACGCATACTACGCCGCCTATATCACGCACCCACCCAACAGCTATATCCACCCGTATACCGCAGCCCCCACATATATCGCAGCCTATACAGCACTACCCCCACATACATCATTCAATTCAAGGACCAACGCCTTGACGAAGGGCACGCGTGCGAAACGACAACACGCGTGCCCTTACGCTAATCCTAAACCAGCTCACTACTCCGGAATTAACTCGACCCGCGCCTAGGAGGACGACTGCAAAACCCGGACAGATTTAGGAAAACGCATCACGATGGCTTATTCCGTGGTGGACTTGATAGATCTACCACGTGTCCCCAATAGCTATATAACAACGAGAAGAGCGCTCAGCGCTATACACCGCAGAGGACGGGGTTTTCATCCGAACGCTGCATGGCAGCAAACGGTTTCTCCTTGTAAACTAGCCTAGATAGAATAGCTGCATAGACCCTAACGGGAGCTACACCAGCGTAATAGAATTTAATAATAATATAGAAAGTAATAATATTATTCTCCTTATAAATCTATTAGAATTCGAGCAAGATATAGCTTTTATAGCTATTAATAATTAGCAGCTAGTATATACCTATTATACGATCTTTTATATACGCATTAAAATAGTATAGCTAGGTAATACTAAGCTTATTTATTATCTAGCTATTATTACTTACTGCTATAACCTAATCTAGTAGTATATTATTACCCTTATACTATATAAAAAGGTAGTATATACCTATAAAGATAATAAATAGTAGAATAGCCTATTTATAGGTATTAATACCTTAGATTATTATTATCTATTTATAATTACCTAGCTATATAGATTTTAGATAATTATAGCGCTTAGAGCCTATTATAACTACGCCTATTAAAATAACACCTATTTAGAAGCCGGCTTTATTAAAGTTATATATATTTTTATTTAAAATACTATACTTTGCTTTTATATTATATATAAGCTTAAACTAATTACTAATAGCTTTTAGATTTTTATATAAAGCTTTTTAATAGTTGTACTTTTAATTAAATTATATTTTAAGCTTAGGTGTTCGCTTAATAAAGTTTTCTAGCCAGTTCTTACTAACTTAGCCGGCGGCGCGCTTAGTAAGTAATTTATTGGCTATCTCTCGTACAGTATATAAGCTAGGCGGAAATCCTTGCAAATCTAGGTCGAGTATATATTAAGTAATAACTAATTCCTTTAGCTTTAAAAGCTTCTTTAAATTAGGCTTAAAATCGCGTTATAGGGTTATTCTAGCGCGTTGATCTCGAAGTGTGCTTCTAGGGACGTTATATATTATAATAGCGCGCCGTTCGCTTATAAATTGCTGCCGATTAATTGCTGCGATAGCTATATATATTCGACCTTTATTTTGTATTAATTGCATATTATATTATTAACGTATAGTAGTTAGAAGTTAACGCGTCGCGTTTTCGTAATAAAGTAGACGGCTTACTTAGGTAGACGGCTCGCTTATAGAATACGTTATCTATAATTCTATTAAAACCTATAAAACACCTTACTATATATATCTATTTATATATATAAGCTATTTAGTAAAAAGGGTATAAAAAGGTAGATAAATATTATATAAAAGCTAGTTAAAAAGTATTAGCTTATAAAATAGTTTACTAAGCAGTTTATATATACTGCCTGTTTATATAAGCACTATATAAGCTTATAGCTTTATTATAGTAATTAGAAACTATTTATAAATCTATTAATTAATACTATAATAAAAAGTAGAAAAAATAGCCGCGGTTAAAAGCGCTATTAGCAGCTGCTAAAAATAAATTAAAGGTATTCTATATACTATATTTCCTTATATAAGAAAAAAAGGTGCTAAAGTAAGTATATAGCTAAGCTTACTACTAAAAACTAGCTATATAAGCAGCTATATATATAGAAATTAATAAATCTAAATAACTTTAGGCTATTATATATTTTATTATAAAGGGCTTAATTAAGGGCTTTTTATTAGCCGAGCTATATAGCCTAAGCGTTGCGCTAAAAGCAGCGGGTTAAGAAATAGCCTTACTACCGAAATTTTTTACTATTTAATAGTATTCTAATATAGTTTTAGCAGGCCTTTTTTATAGCTTTTATATATAGGCCTTATTTTTATAAATAGTAAATAGAAATAAAACTATTACTATATTTTTCTAAGTAAATTTAATTACTTTATAACTTTCTAATAACACGCTATATAGCTTTTCCTACTTAATTTATTTATTATATATTAATTTAAGGTCTATAAGTAATTAGTTAAAGCTTTTAGCTAGTATTTTTACCTTTTTCTTAGTCCTTAATTATATAGCTATAGTAGTAGCTAGTTTCTTAATAATATTATACTTTTCCCTTTTTATTTTTTCCCTTTTTATTTTAGTTATTTAAACTATACTAGCTGCACCTATTTTAAGCTTATATAGCTGTTTAAATAGCTTTAACGTATTCTATAAGCGAGCCGTCCACCTAAGCGAGCCGTCCACTTTATCACAAAAACGCGACGCGTTAACTTCTAACCACCATGCGTCGACAACACAACGTGCAATTAATACAAAATGAAGGTCGAATATGCATGGCTATCGCAGCAATCAATCAGCAGCAATTTAAAAGCGAACGGCGCGCTATTACGACATATAATGTACCCAGAAGCACACTTCGAGATCGACGCGCTGGAACGACCCCACGACGCGATTCTGAGCCTAATTCGAAGAAGCTTTCCAAGCTGGAGGAATCAGTTGTTGTTCAACATATACTCGACCTGGATTCGCGAGGATTTCCGCCCAACCTGCATGCTATACGAGAGATGGCCAACAAATTGCTCGCCGAGCGCGCCGCCGGCCACGTTGGCAAGAACTGGCCAGAGAACTTTATCAAGCGAATACCTAAGCTCAAAACACAATTCAATCGAAAGTACAATTGTTAGAGAGCTTTATGCGAGGATCTAAAGGCAATTAGCAATTAGTTTAAGCTTATACGCAATATAAAAGCAAAGTATAGTATCCTAGATAAAGATATATACAACTTTAATAAAGCTAGCTTCTAAATAGGCGTTATTTTAACTAGTGTAGTTATAACAGGCTCTAAGCGGCGCAATTATCTAAAATTAATATAGCTAGGCAATTATAAATAGATAATAATAATCTAAGGAGTTAATACCTATAGATAGGCTATCCCGCTATTTATTATCTTTTTAGGTAAGTACTACCTTTTTATATAGTATAAAGGTAATAATATACTACTAAACTAGGTTATAGCAGTAAGTAATAATAGCTGGATAATAAATAAGCTTAGTATTACCTAGCTATAGTATTTTAATAAATATATAAAGGATTACACTATAGGTATATATTAGCTGCTAATTATTAATAGCTATAAAAGCCACCGCTTACTTAAATTTAAAAAGATTTATAAAAAGAATAATATTATTACTCTCTATATACCAGCGTATTTATTGCACCTGCTGCAGCCGCTTAATATTAGCTGCTTTGCGCCGTTAAAAAAGGTATACAGGCGCTAAATTAAGGACTTAATACGCCACTATATTAACTATATTATAAAGCTAGAATTTTTGCTAGTATTTAAAGCAGCCTTTTATAACTTAATTATAAAAAGTAATATTTGCGCAGGCTTTTAAGGCGCAGGCCTTATACTACTTAATCTAGAGGTAGTGCTTTTAAAGCTTAATATTTAGCTTTATATACTATTGCCTTCTGCTATAGTAGAGGCTTAATAGGAATTAAAAATACTAAGCAACGCTCTTAAGCTAGGCTTTTAATTAGCTTTAATTTATAATTATATTTAAAGGTATTAAAATAGCTTACCTATAGTAATTCTTAATACGCTTAGCAGCTTTTCTAAAGGTGCTGCAATAATAATATATTAAGCTACGCTACTGCGTAATATAGTTGCCAGCCTTTAAAAGGTAAATAAAGCTGCTGTAAAGTATAAGGCGCGTAAAAAAAAGCGGATCTAGAGAAAAAAAAACTCTAATAATAGAAGCAGGCTTTTAAATAGCTGCTTAAAGGCTTAATAAGAACGCCTAAAGTAAAAGGCAGCAAGACGGGGCAGATTCTAGCGGAAGCGCGCGGCGCTATAGATGCTGCGGCGAGCTAAGGCATAATATTTATACGTGTAAAAATAATATAGAGGTTGCTGTAGATTAGGCTATAAGTTATATATAGTTAATATCTATTAGCGTTGTAGAGTAATTAACGTTTAAGGCCGGTTTTTATAATAAAGTAGATAGCTTACTTAGGTAGACGGCTTGCTTATAGAATACGTTATACTAGAAAAAAAATTATTTAGCTAGACTATATACTTACCTAGTAGATAGATATATTAGTTTATAATAGGATTATATTATATTAAAAAATTTAATATAATAGCTTAAGTTTTAGTAAAGCTTTTAAAAAGAAATAATTTATTTAAATTAACTAGGCTATTACTATCCCCTTTAGCATGCTATAGCTAATCTAGAATATAGCCTTAATTAGCTAGAACCTAGATTTTAAAGCCCTTTAGTATAGGTTTTATAGGAATATTAATAATTTTACTTACTTATTTTATAAACTTTTATATTATTTTATTTATAGTAAGGTAAGAGCTAAGGTTTAGTATATACTATAGCGTGTTCTAATATACTTAAAAAGCTTATTTATATAGTTAAATATTAATTGGAAACTATTTTAAAGTATAAAAGAGTACCGGAAATACTAATCTAGTTACTTAAACTAAATAAAGCTAATAAAGTTTTTTTACTATATATAAGGCTCTATATAATTTAGGGCTTTAGTAATTTTTTATACGCTTTTCTATTATAATTCCTATATAAATTAGGGTTCTAAAATAGGCGTAGAGCTCCTGCCTATTTATAGGCCTCTATTTCCGTTTTTTTTCTATAGGTGCCTTTTCCTCTATAGGCTAGTACTGCTTAGCGTACTTATTTATCTACTATACTATTTTATCTATTATTTTATTAGTAAAAAATAGCCTAAAAAGGGCTATAGAGTTATACTAATTAAGACCTAAAGGTATACAGGCCTTTTCTAGATTATACTAATTATTAATAGGTAGGGGAGAGAATTCGGGCATAGGCTATAGTTTAGGAGGCGGTTCTTTAGCTGTTTTTATACGAGGATCTTTCTATTTAATATAGTTAATATTATTTAATATTCTAGGTATCTTTAGGTATTAATTGGCGTTAAATTAGGTGGATTTTAATTAATTGTTATAGCTGGCTATATTTATATATCTTAGAACGATGTTCGTCTTAGTATAGCCCGAGCGTTGCACTTTACCGGGCTAAGGGATAACCTTCTCCTTTAGAGGTCCGTGGCGTATAGGGGGCATATTTAGGTGTTAATTATAAGCTGTTTTAAGGGGGTGGAGGCATTTGATTTTATCTATTTTAGGTGCAGGCAGGTGGTGTTGATGTTCCTGAGCCGGCAGAAATATTAATTAAACCAATCAGAGCACGGCAGTAAGGGTCACATGACACATGCACGGTTCAGGTCAAAAACCCCGGAGAGGTCAAATACCCCTCAAATACTCTACTAGGTAGCGGCCACTCCGCCGCACCGTACATCACCGGGTCATCATTGCACCTGCAGCGTGCGTCATGATCTTATTTCTGGAAATATACGTACTGTACTGTCCTGTCTGTGGGCTGGAGACCGGGGTTATTCTACCCCTGCATCGTATCTGTCCAAGGACCGGGATGTTTACAACCGCGGGCTAGATGGATCTGAGCCCTTGCGAAGCTTTCTCCGCCCCTCGGCCGTCCGTGCGCGGCGCTTCGACGAGCGGGAAAACATTGATATCGATGTTTCGTTTCACAGAAGCGCGGCGGAGGCGTCTAGGCTTTTCGCCCCATGGCCTGCCTGTTCTATCCCCAGCCCCCGCCGAGACCGAGGCCAAGGCTGAGGATTGCCTGATAAGCGCACTACGTTGGACAATCAATTCCCAGGGTCGGGGCTCAGCCTCGAGGTAAATTCTGTGTAGCCTGATAAGTGCACTACGTTGGACAATCAATTCCCAGAGTCGGGGCTCAGCCTCGGGGTAAATTCTGTGTAGGTCTGGGATGAGTGAGACAGTGGTGTACCTAGTGCAAAGACTACGCGAGGTTGAATAAGATGGATGGATGGATGGATAGATAGGTGCTGATACGCGCCAGTCCCAGACTAGAATCATCACGTCTATTTTCCTTCCTTCACTTTTCGAACACTCTTTAACGGGAAGCATATCAAAATGACGGCCCTGATCTTCTCTGCCGCAATTGAGAGTATGCGGCTCTCGCTCCTGTCGAGCGCGCTGGCTTTGCCGATGCTATATTTGTTTGTGTTCAACGCTGTTCGAGCTTTCCAGCGGCTGCGAGGGGAAGAGACCAAGCCGTTGCTTGCACCGCATTCGATGCCGTTGATCGGACATGTGCAGTTATTCCTGGCGCAGCCGGCGAAACTCGCGTCCGTCTTTAGGTATGGCACTCACTTGTAACATGCGGACACGAGACTGATGATACCAGTGCTGCGGAGCATTCAAAACAAATATTCCGCTTCAAGCTGCCCTTTGCCTCGCTGTGGTTTGTCAAGGGCCCATCGCAGATCGTGCAGATAATGTCCGACTCCAAGACGTTCGACTTCGAGCCTATGAAGAACATCGCCCTGCAGCGGATCCTCGGACTTCCGGGCAGGATCATCGATCTTGCGAATCGAGATGACTCGGGTGTGGGCAGGAAACCGCTTCCCGCGAGCAATATCCCACATGGGAGACGCTTTAATTACTTGGAGCGCAAGACGACGAAGGACTTCACGCGGCCTGCTTCCCATGCCGCGTTTGTAGACAAATTCGAGGCTAATCTCTATGACTGGGTTGAGAAATCCGCCATCGGGGATGAGTGGGTCAGCTATCCTGATCTGTATCCCTTCATTCGAACCATTCTCTTCCGAGCCACCACCGACGCGTTTTACGGCCCGCAGCTTCTCAAGTCGAGCCCGTACCTGGAAGAGGACATCTGGAAGTTCGATGTAAATGTGCCATTTCTGGCCAAGGGCTTGCCGGGTTTTCTCAATCGGTCTGCTAAAAGAGTCCGACATAGATGTACACAAGCGTTTCGCATGTGGAGGGTCTCCGCTCTGCAGGAAACCGCAGAGCAACTTCCAGAATGGAATGAAAAATCGGGACTGAAGACTACGACGCTACGTAAGGAGGTGTTTGAGCAGTTTGAGGAGTGGGATGATACCTCGTGTGCAGCGTCTGATCTTGCAGTGCTGTTTGGGTAGGCATAATTCTCAAAGTCGCAACCTTGCACACATTCACTGACTCTGTGCAGGTTAACGTCCAACTCCATCCGAGCCTCGTTCTGGTTCTTCCTCGAAACATTACGGTCACCTGACCTCGCCGGCGATGCAGCGAGGGAGATATCCAGCGTGATCACTACATCGGAAACATACAACTCAACAGATACAGCGCCACCCCGCTTCGACATCAAACTGCTGGTGCGACTTCCGCTCCTACAATCGCTCTTCGCCGAGACACTGAGAATGTACGTCTCGGTAATGATAGTTCGCACCACACGACAAAGCTGCAAACTCGGGGACTGGGTGGTGCAGAAGGATCAGAAGGTCATGATGTGCAACTACGCACAGCACATGGACGAGAAGCTCTGGAACCAGGATGGTTCCAGCCCTCACGCCCTCGACGCATTCTGGGGACGGCGATTCCTGTCCGGTTCAGAGACTGAAAAGCCGGACTCGAGCCCTGTCGCGCAGATGGAGGCCCTTGCAGACCAGTCCACACCTACTGGGCCTCGCTTCGCAGGAGAAGGACTCGGCGCCAAGTTCTTCCCGTTCGGCATGGGCGAGAGAGTCTGCCCCGGCCGCCACTTTTCCAAGATCCAATCGCTGCTGGCGTACGCGCTGATATCGGAGAGTTTCGATATGGAGCTGCTGGTGGAGGATGGATGGAGGCCGAGGGTGGATTGGAACCACTTTGGATACGGCACCTTGCCCCCGGCCATGTCGACGCCGTTTCGCATCAGGAGAAAGGCGGCTGCTGTGGTTTAGTCGGGGATGTAGTCGTACATTACTTGCTTTGATAGACGGAGTGTTGAATAGACTGTACTTTGGATATGGATCACGTACGTTGCTCAGCTGCTCCCCTGTGATGCTATGCCGGACTGCAGACCATTCTCAACCCACCGACCGCGATCAAACATCGCCAAGCCGTGACAAGCACCCCGCAGCGTCTTTTGTCCTCCCCGACGACAAATCCGCCTCCAGCCACACTTCAGCGCCATCCACAAAATGGCTTAAACCCATTTCCAGTCTCCAACATACCGTGCATCCAAGTCTAACCTCTCCAGCACCATCGCAAGCCCAGCAATAGCCCAGCACGCAAGGCATCTCGAATACCACATTAATCAGGCAATGCTTCTCTTCCCCCACCCCCCCTCCCCACACTTGCACGCATCAGAACTCCCCGCTATCCCAGTATTCCTTCGCTGACCGAACGTAAATGAGCCTTCCACCGCGGTTGGTAGTACCCCAGACTCATCAGCGGTTCGCTTCGGTTCCTTTCGCCAAAATGGAAAACGTCCGAGCGCCACAAACGACCGTCAGCCGCACGATCGATGGGCGCGAAGGAATGCGATGCGATGCGGGGCTGCGATCTGCGCCGCTACAGCTACAGGGGTGACAAGATCGGCCTGACACCCCCCCTCCCCCCCCTCTGGTCAATTAGGCTTGGCAGAGATAGGGGGGCTACACGAAATGAGATTGAGCTTTCACATGGCAATGAATGGTATGTCTTGATTGAGGTGTAAGGCAGTCTCGACTTTGTGCACGTGAATGCGGGTTGAGATTCTGCAAGGGGAGAGGCGGGGGCTTGAAGAGTTACACGGGAAAACGAGTTGCAACTTCAAGGTACAGAGAAGATAGAGGCAGCAAATCAAGATGCACAGATTGGAAGTCATGCGTGAGGATCATGTCGCCTGGTGCTAGTGTAGAAAAACTCCTGAATTCTGTTATGGTACTGTACATGTTCTGGAATACGCAAGTCGCTAGGTCCCTCTTTTGCGTTCCTTTCGCCATGCGCCGTGACTTGCATCCGTCGACATGTCAATCGTGCCTTTCCCTCAGCAGGTAACAGTCTGTGAAAGATTGCATCGAAATTCCTCACTTCAGCACCTCCGTAATACAAGGCTCGATGGTCTCCAGCTTCTCGAACAGCTCTCCAACGAACCTCTTATGCAAGGCCTGTCCCTTCTCGCTGTCAACATTCGGGCCATTGCTGCGAATCGTTAGCGCTCGTCCCGATTTCGAACTGGATACTTACTCTGCAATCTTGCAATCCATCAGGAATGCTCCATGGGCTTCTAGCGGAAGATCAGGTCTCACAGCATCCACGATCGCCGCTCCACCAGTCGCAGTCGGCCGAGCAAGAATGAGCATCATGATGCGTTCAATGACGGAGTGCAACCACGGCTTGTCGTCTCGAAAGAGGTTGCTGTGGCACATGCCTGGCGTCAAGACGTCGAGTATGACATTCGACTCTGGCGTGACAGGGCTCCGCGCTGCGATCTCCCGGATGGCGTAGAGCAGAAAAAGTTTCGACGTTGAATACCTGGGATACTCAGTCAGCGACTCCTCCACACAGCGCTATGAGCGACAACGTACCGGTCTTCCATGAGAGCAATGTCCTTGTTGTTCAGCGCATTGAAGAGAGAGCCGGACGCGTTTGCCTCGTTCACTTGCGCAACATAATGCGCGTCTGACGTCACAAAGGCAATTCGTCCCCTAGCATTGTGCGTCTTCGCAGAGGCTCTCAGCTTCGGCAACAACAGCAAGCCCAGCAATGTCGTATGGACTACGTTGACCGCGATGTGCGCTTCCATTCCGTTCACCATGGTCCACTGCTGGGTTAGCATCCCCGCATTCGAAATGACGGCATCTAGTCTCTCCAATCCATTCGCGCGATCGGAAAGCTTCTTGATGGAGTCGTAATCCGAGAGGTCCAGCGGCCATACTTGGATATTATTCTTTGTTGCGCCGGTCGACTCGAGTAGCGCTTCAGCAGCCGCTTCTCCTTTCGCAACGCTGCGCACAGCCAAGATGACTTTCGACGCTTTCAGACGCAAAAGGTGACGTGCAGCTTCGAGTCCAAGACCAGTATTGGAGCCGGTGACGATGATTGTTTGGCCGGAGAAATCGCTTGTCGGGGCCGGAATCCGTTCAAAGAACTGCGAGTAGAGGAGCTTGCGGCCAAACTTGGGCCAGGTCATGGGCGTCGCCATTGCCAACAGGGTAAGTTGCAAAGTCGCGAAGTTCAAGCTGTGTTGGTGTTGAGAAGTGAGGTGCAGGTCAGCAATGTGTTTGTTTTGGAGGGGCTGTGTCGCTGCAGTGTAACAATTCGGACTGAAGCAACTACTGTAAGCCTAGAGGCACCAATCAATGCAGGACTTGGCGTCCCGCACATCTATATATACGTGCCTACGCACACCTCCACAATACACACACACATTACCACTTCCTCACATATCATGCCCACATATTGTGCCCCCACAAGCTTATAGTTATGAGCCCGGATATCGCTTAATCCGTCAATATATCTCACTCTGACTACCTACCTACCTACCACAATCAAAGGATCGCATATCCACCTTACTGTTGGCACCGTCTTCACGTCTCCACGTCTCTCCACGTCGTCACCGTCACCATCATGTCGTCCAAGACTTCAACCGTCCCATCAAATGTCATCCTCAGAGATCAATCAGACTGGGAGCTCTGGCTGAAGCTGGAGATGTTTGGCAGTATATGAACCCAGATCAACCCCATTGCCCGCTGCAGAAGCCTACAAAGCCGACTCGACCTGTCACTCATTCCCAGCCCGAATCCGATTCTACGTCTACGATTGTGTCCACTGCTCAGGCTATTCCAACAGCTGCACAGCAAGCCCAGTATACGGCTGAGCTAGCTGAATACAACATGGAAATCAAGAAATACCGAAGGCTCAAGGACAAGCTCGGTCAAGTGGAAACCCACGTTACCAAATCAATCGATCCAAAATACCTGTATCACATCAAGGATAAGGACAACCCGTACGAAAAGCTCAAGACACTTCAACAGCTCCTATCCCCTACAAAAATTGATCAGGAATACCAAGTTCAGAAGACCTATTAACTTGCAAAGGCTTTCCATGCCCTACGATCAAACATTGAGGACTGGTGTGATTCCTTTCTCATCGCCTACAGACGAGCCGAGCAGCTACAGCTTCCAGAGGCCCATGGATTCCGTGCACAGAAAGACTTTGTACGAGCAATCAAGCTATTCGACGCAGCATATGCCGTCACTCTATCTTTGAAAGTCTTTGAAGCCGGTTTCTAGAGGCGACACTGGTTGTAAGAAGCTGGTTTGGATAGCTTCGCTGGAGCCTAGAGTCTGGCTGCACAGCATAACTCTTGGCAAAGCAAGGCTGCACGTAACTTTAGGCAGTGCCTTGTGTTTCTTTTCTACACGGAGGGCATTATCTAGCAAAGGTAAGACTGCTGTCGGCAGGATGGAGCCTTGGCGTAACAAAACGCACCGGCTAAAATTAAATTTAAATTAACTATTATGATCCCGCACGTGCATGTATATAACCCAAATCGATTAAGAATTGCGCCAAGAAGTACCGTCCTGCGAGGCGAATTTGCATCGAATACCGCGTACATTATAGATAACAGTTTAGCAGCAGTATAAGAAGCATTGCATGCTCTAGACTCCTTGATTTCCGCCTTGAAATGGCGAAAAGATGGGGGTGGACGCGTTTTTCTAATGAAATTTTGATTATGGCTGTAGGGTGTAGTGCACGAATCGAGCGACAGGACAACCATACGTTTGTAATTTTTAGGTATGAAGTGTCTAGAATGTCGAGTAATTACTAAAAAGCAGCTTGGATACCGCAATATTAGAGATCTAACACGTGCGCAGATTCTAGGACGCTTGGAAGTCACGACATTGCTACTTCACTCAGGTTGCAGCACTACAACCTAGGATCAACAACTCATATGCCAGAAAGCTACTCTCCGAACATCAGCTGTAGAGAACCCAGCTGAAATCTCAGCTGTAGAGAACCGAGCTGAAGCCTCAGCTGTGCAGGGCTCATCTGAACTTACTAGCGCGCCACCCTGGGGGTGGCCCCCTTCCTTCCCCTAGTATATATACAACTAGCTAGACGTCTATAGAAATCAGAGTTCACATCAATTTCAACCTGAGTGTTATGAGCCCGGAAAACTCACACGGATCATCGCCTGCATCACCGATCAACGCAAATCAGCAAACGATAGACTCTC